ACAGTGTTGTCAAGGCCTTCTTATTTTCTAGTTCAAATCCTTGTTCATGCTGTTTGCTAAGTCCTTGTTCCTTGTGACAGCTTTCAGGCTAACAGAACACACTGAATACTGCATTCCAAACCACTCTGTCCTGCTGGGCTCCGACTAAAACAAGCTCTTCAGACTCCATCATGTGAACTTTTCACAAGGAACAATCTCCCTCAGACAACTCCATTCACACATACTATCCGTGAAACTGGGTCTCAGGAAGAGGTGACATCACAGACTTTCCCTCTGGCCAGGGTCATGACCACCAAAGTTGTGTTTAAGAGGCTCCCACGTGGTTTGACACATGATTTTCTTAACAATTTAACATTTCCCCCAATGTTCCCATAAGTTTCCAATTTAAGATAGTCACACTTAAATACAAAATTGGGTTCTGGTGTCAAGAAAGCCAGGGATTTCAAGAAGAATGAGAAAATTGCAGCCTGTGTAGGAGGGAAAATGTAAGACAAAATACACATAACACATGCCATATGTGGGGTTTTGTAGCAGGGTATTAGAAAGCATATATCTAGAAAGTGTGACATCAACCAGGAAACTGAATTTTTAAAGAGGAGCTAGGAATGCACTTACCTATCATATGAGAGGCCCTGGGTTCTAGCCCTGGCACCATGAAAAAAAACACTACACAATGTTCAAAAATAACCTTTATTTAAACAATAAGATCTTTTAAACATATCTACAACCAGGGTTTGGAGGTGAGGGCTTTGGAAGCAGCAGGAAGATTATTTCTCTGAGCTGGACGGCCAATTTGCCTTTAATTGGGCTATAATAGGAGCAGAGCAGCCACCCCACTGCATTCTGAAGAATCTGAAGCTGTCTGCAGAAAGCTCTGCCTAGTAGCTACTGAAGACGACTTTGGATTCATCTCAAAGTTCTTAATGTGAAAAAAAGCAGCTTATGTATCAGGGTGGTTTCCATTCCAGTTCTTCTCAGAGTTGGAGCCTGTGAAACTGCCAGTTCTCTAGGTCTCCTTGTAGTGCGCTAAACAGAGAAAGCTATCTGGGTAAAAAGTATCCTCTGATATAGCATTTTTGGAAAAGTAAGTGCCCAAGCCATAGGCCATTTGGCAGTACTATGCTTAGCAGCTATGTCTAACCTGATGTCTGAGGGCAGCATGCACCCCAAGGTAGATATGAATGTGTCCCAATAGAAAATCATAAACTTTCTTAAAACCTTATGAGATTATTTTCAGCAACTGGATTGTGCAGTGTTTTGTAGATAACAATGTGCCACAATGTCTAAAAGTTGGACATGCCTGTGAGTCTAAAGCTTACATTTTTTCCTTATTCTTGACCTACTGTGGAAAATGGAGCCAAAAGAAAGAGAGGGCTGCATTCCATACATGTGTTCCCCTCCTACAAGTAGACATACCACAACTGCCGAGGCAATTTCCTAGCATTGAGTAATTTCACCTTTGCAATCCTTACTGCAAGGAGCTTATAGAATTCAACTGGTTACACACCACTGCCTACCTAATGACATCTTAAGTTAGTGTGCAGAGATTGGGGGGACCTAAAATATCATCTAGCATAACCAGTGACTATTTCATACACCAAACAAAAAAGGGCTTACTCAAGGTCAGCTAGTTACTGGAAAAGCTGAGGCTTAATATAGGTACCCTGTTCTTTTGTCAGTGACCAACTGAGTAGACAATTCTTCACTCCAATACCTACTTCACCATTTCAATAGAGCCAGAGTGATGTAATTGCAATGTTTTCAAACCATCACTTTGTTTTATGAGAAAGCAGTGCCTTAATGGATAAAATAATTAGGTAGATATTAAGAAACAAGATTTCTCTCAAGCTCCTATACAGAGGAGAACCCAGAAGTTTCACATTAAGGGTTATTTTTGTTGTTTTGTGAGACAGGGTCTTACCATGGAGTTCTAGGTGGCATGGAGTGTAGATCAGCTGGCCTGAAACTTGAACTCAGAGAGATCCACCTGTCTCTGCCTCCTGAGCGCTAGGATTAAAGGCGTGTGTCACTCTACATGGCTCACACATTTCATTTTTACTTAAACCTAAGAAAGAAAATGTACAAAATATGCAAGATGATGAGAAAGATGCATCTATAAATAGGTAGATTCTCTTTAGGCCCACACAGAAAATTGTTCAATGATCAACTTAAAATGAAACCCTTGAATGAATCACATATCTCAGAATCAGGGCCACAGGAAGACTTCATGCCTCATACTTACAGACCTCCTGAAAATAGGTAGTTTTGGGGACCCCCTCATTGAGATTTTGAAGTCAGCTGGAGGGTGGCTCTGAAATTGCCAAATTCACAAGACACCAGAAAACCTTTTTACTCTCTCATGGGAAATGAAGGTAAAGGCATGCAGGGATAATAATCTAGGACTAAGGGCAAGGACGTCAAGGACATTGCTGGGGTCATAATTATATGGAATGGGAGAAGACCATGGCCATACATGAATCTAGCTTATAGTTCTATTCATCTGCTCTTAAAATACAAGCATTGTATGTCCATAATGAATTAGACACTGTACTGGTCATTTGGGATTACCAAAGGAAACAAGACAAACAGAATGCCTACTCTCATAATGGCACACCCTATTCCACCCCTCCCGTGTACCTGTTAAGATGACAGTTGTTTCTCAGCTAAGTTTGTGCCCAGAATGCCCCCCAACGATTCCACCAGAAGAACGCCCTCAAGTAGTAGAAGCAGAGAGAAAGAAAACAAGCAACTACTACTAAAGAGACTGCAGCTGGGACTGAAAGCTTTCTCAGGCTTGAAGAAGCACCACAGAACTCACTTGATGTGCTTTGTATCTCCTAAGGTTTATGGCTCGGAAGGTTGGTGTGAACAGAGACTTCCTAAAGAAAGTCTTATCAGGGTGTTCATCGCCCCAGCCTGGGTTAAAGCAAAGTGCAATCACCCTGGAGAAGAACACCCTGTGAGATATTGAACCACCCACGGCTCCAGTGTCTTGCTTCTGGACATCAGGACTCCTGCCAAAGCCAGTCTTCCCAAAGTACTGTTTGGATGGAGGTATCACCCTTGGACCCTGACAAAATCTGTGGGTAGTCATTTGAGACCCTCTAAACTTTGGCCCTACCCCTACCAATTATACTGTTTCCTACTCAAAAGATACGAGATAATCTTCCAAAGATGGTCCCCCTGTTACTCATTATTTCTGGACTCAGTTTAAATGCCATCTTTTACCAGAAGCTGTGACACTATCAACAATAAAAACCTCTTTTGAATTCCACACAGCTTTCGAGAGTTTTTCCCACAACTAGAAGTCCCTGCTTGGCTACATATTTTATATTCCAAGGCACTGTGAACTCTTTGAGGATAAGGACGGTTTTATGGCTGATATCTCCTCTCAGGTCCTAAGACAGAGCCTTGGAGTTTACTAGATATAACATCAAGTTGTTTCTTTTTCTTTTCTATCTGGGAATTCACTTTATAGTCTAACATTCTTTTAACATATTGGGCAACTACGAATTTTCTCCACAGTCATATTAATGAAGCAGGGACAACTCTGCTGTGAACGTAGAGGCAGGGTGCCTTTAATAAACCTGTAACGTTTTATGCATGGACTTTGGAAGACTCTGGAGCTGTGGGCTTTTTCGTGTCTTTCCACTCCTTCCATAATCTCACTTCCTACCTCCACCCCCCAGCCATACTTCCTCAGCACACACTCGTATTAAAAACCACTTTAGCCTTTTAGATATCCTAGGACCTTTACTTCCAAATCCTTTCTGTACATATCTCCCTCTCCACGTTTGTTCTTTTAGGCTATTACCCCTGATCGCAAAGTGTGTTCCCCAGTCAATTTCAGGAACTCGAAGGATACCCTCGTATTTATTAAAAGTGATGATCCTAAGTCCTGAGTGCAACACATTTACAATTGATACACAGACAGTGATATTTAGGGAAGTTCAAACTATATGACAGTAATATTTTAGCTCAAGTAGAAATACCAGGGTTTTATTTGCTGACTCCTAGATTGATCTATTTTGTTGCCTTTGCTAAAATATTATGAACTTCAATGCTTGACTGACTTTTATTTATAGAGGGAACACATTCAGTGAGCTAAGCATTGCTGTTGACACTAGAAATATGGACTTCGTGTATTATCTGAAATGACCCTCTCAGACACATAGCTCCATTACAGAAACAAACTGAGGCCAACGAATATTAATTGGCTTGCCCCAAATCATCCAGTTATTTTGTAGAGCTAGGATTATACCATTGCTCTTTTCAGTACAGAGCATATTTCCTGTTAGTTATACCTTGGTATCCCCTTAAAGAAAACCCAGTTATTTCTAGTTGGTCTGCTACTCTAAAGCAGAACCCATGAAGTTGTAACCTCAGAAATATAAACTTCTTACATTCCTAAGCAAAAGGTTATGAAGGTCTCCATCTTATTTAGTTTCCTTTTCTTAAAGTGACTTAACCCACCATTTATTACTATCCCAATCATTGTAGCGTCTACTTACACCACCATAATCAGAATCAACTCTGTTTCAAAGCAAATAAAGGCTAAAATACATTAATTCCACAGTTTGTTTCTAGACATTGGGTGCATGGTAGAGTGGGCAAAACCAGATGACTCCAAATTTCATAAATATGTCAAATCTTACATTTTGGTACAATGATCTAGGCTGTGGTGGCGCACACCTTTAGTTCCAGCACTCCGGAAGCAGAAGCAGGCAGATTTCTGTGAGTTCGAGGCCAGCCTGGTCTACAGAGACAGTTCTAGGACAGCCAAGGCTACCAAAGAAACCCTGTCTTGAAACACCAAAACACACCACTACCACCACCAGAAACAACAACACCACATTTTGGTACAATGTAAATGAATTAGCAATGAGTATCAAAGCAAACAACCTAAATAAGAAATGATAAACTTATTCCACAACCAAACTATTCCACAATCAAACATCTATGTGTTTCCCCTTTAAGAATTTAAAGTAAGGTCACATTTATTCATTCAACAAACATTTATTGAGCACCAACAACTGTACTAGGTGCTAAGAAATACAACTTGAATAAGATAAACCAGGCTTCTGTCCTGACTGGATACATTTTGCTGTAAAGTTTAAATGATCTTGCTAACTATGTGATATTTGATGTTCTGTAATAGAATTATATATCTTTTGAAAGTCAGAGTCATAGGAAGCCTCTTCTGGAATACTTTTAAATTTTCTTTATGGTAAACTTGATAGAAATCTTTAACTTAAGAGAAAGAAGACCAGCAGTCTCCAGTATGGTTCCAACAAGCATGTTGATGGGCAAGTTGACTGTCAAGCAACAAGGTGGTGGATGGTGGCCAACCACGGGGGCAGTTAGACCATTCGGTTGCGCTTGTGGGAGGGAGAGTCTGTGGTGGTATCACCAAACTGGGCCGAGGTACGCTTGCGGATTCCCCCACTGTCCAGGAGGAGAGCCAGTTCTTCTGGGCCCAACGGGTTCTGATCGTCTTCAAGGAAGGTACTTTTCCGACGCCCACTGCTGGCAATACCTCCATCTTGAGATGGGGAACCAGGAGTGCCAGATCGCATACTGATGCTTGCCATGGCGCCATTGAGGCCATGGAGGGCGATGGCCTCGTGGAAGGGCTGCAGGTCGACGTCCACGGGCGCGCTGGACGCAGTGGCAGCAGCCTGACTGGAGGCAGCTGCGGGCGGCCTAGAGGACATCCTGGAAGTGCGTGGCGGGGGAGGGGCGGGGGGTACTTTGCCACAGAGGAAGCTTATGAGGTCTTCCCGGCGAATGATGCTCCTACCCTTCTTCACCCACTCCAGCACATCTCTAACGCGACGCTGGTAGCCAACCTGGACTCCCAGCTCAAAACTTCGCTGGTAGGCATCCCCGCTCTCTTTGTAGAGGCTGGTCACGGCCATGGCCGCATTCTGGAAGGGGTCCCACATAGAGAGTCCTGGCTGTTGGCACCCGGAATCTTTGTAGAGCTGGGCCACCGCAGTGGCTGAGATCTGGAAGAGGTGCCAGAGCCTCTGTCGCTCGATCTTGAGCCCAGCCGCATCAGCAGCCGCCTCCTCCTGCAGCTCGGGGGACAGCTGCTCTTCCTGCTCCGCCTCAGCAAGGCACTGGCGCTCCCACTTAGAAAACCAAGGCTCAGTGACCTCGGCCTCACAGTCCTTCTGCTGCTCCTCCATCCTCCTCTTCCTCCAGGCCGCGCGCCTTCCTCCGCTACAGTCTCCGCCGCCGACTGTGGCTGCTGCTCCTTCACCTCCACCGCCACCGCCACCGCCACCGCCACCGCCGCCGCAGCTCACCTCAGGGTCGGGGCCGCCCTCCACCTTTCCACGGCCACCGCCGCCGCCTTCGCGGGCGCCGCTGGGCGGGCGCGCGGGCGGCGGGGGCCCAGAGGCCAACTGCTCCAGCGAGCGCCGCCCGGGGGCCTGGTCCACGCCCCGCCCCGCCCCGCCGGCCCGCCCCCCCTCCCCCCCCCCCCCCGGCGACGCCGCGCTAGCAGCCTCTGCAGCCGCGGAGATAACCCCAAGACCGCCGGCGCCGCTGCGCTCCCCGCTTCCGGGCTCGCGGCTTGCTCCGGCGGTCCGCTCACACGGCCTCCCGGCCTCCCGGTACAGGCCTGGGCCGGCCGCTCCGCCCCGGCACTCGCTAGCGCCGCGCCTGCCGCACTGAAGGCTCCGAAGGTGGCCCGCTGGCTGCAGCGCTGCCTCCACGCAGCGCTCGCCTGGATGCCGGGGGCTCGCTCCCTTGGCACACAGTTTGGGGGCACTTGTCGGCTGTATCCTAACGAGCTGATGAAATTTTACATCCCGTGTTGCCACAGATGATTACGGGGGCAACTTCATGGTGCGAGTCACATCCAGGGAGGCCGAGGGGGAGAGTGGAAAGACCTGTTCCTTCTGTGAACTAAACAGGCGATATGGACTCTTTGGCAACGTCTTCCACAGTTGGGGGAAAAAAATGTGTGACATGAATCAGCCCGTATTTTGTAGAGGGAGAAAAAGGTCACACTAGAAAAGTGCCCCTCCTTAGCCTCAGTTTCCTCAAGTGCCCAGTGAGGTGATTGGACTAGGTCTCTGTAGTGTACCTTAGAAGCACTTGAAGGGAGAGATTAAGAATCCCCCTGCTGTCCTTGTGTAATACTTCTTAGGGGCTATTGCATATTTAACCAAATTCTGAGAGTGACCAGACATGGCACTGGCTTCCTTAGGCTTCTAATAAAGGTTTATATCATTTAAAAAATTGGGGTGGAGGAGGGGTCCTACGTGGTCCACTTTCAATGACTCAATATCCCAACATTAAGAAACTAAGAAAAAAAAATAGAAAGCTCAAGCAGAATTTTCTACTGTATCGCAAAATTCAGATTCTTTTTTAAAAGAAAGGAAAATAAGAATCACCTACTTCCTAGCACCCTAAAATTCCAGCTAGTTAAAATGCAATACCAAAATAAGGTACAAAGGTATGGGAAACGATTGTCTTTTCTTTGCATTCAATATCAATTTCCATATAATGTTGCAATCCGTTTTCACTGCAGATAATTCCAGAACAAACAAAAGAAGAAATTAAAACTGAGCCAAGTATAACATCAAAAAGGGGAGGAACTGACATACAGCCCATTTATTTTCACATTTAGGGAGGGAAAGTCATACTTTTGTAGCTTCTGTTGTAGAACATTTGCAAAGTATCCAGAAAGCCTTACAGATATAAACTTCAATCTTCTAGGAAAATATTTGATAATTCTTAAATATTAAAATTAATATGTTAAATAAAATGATCAAATCATTAAGCTTTATCATCATCCTTAAAAGAAATACATGTTTCTAAGTTAAATGTAAAAGACAAGGGGGAGGGCAAGGGAGGGGAGAGGAGGAGGAGGAAAAAAAAAGAGGAGAGATTGTGCCCTTTCTCTGCAAACCGGGCTTTTCACGATTCATTAAACCTTTTTTCCATATGTGTAATTGGACTCTTCTCATTTACATAAACGAAGGATGAGGCAAAAGACTAAGATCAGCTCCCCCCAAAAGACATGTTTCTCATTCTCCTATGGTAAAAAATTATCTATGTATTATAGAAGTAAACCCCAGGAAGGCAGAATTCTCTTTATGTCCAGCCCCCACCAGAGAGGTCTAAGACACTTCTTGACTGAAGATTCAGCCACGGCCCTAGTCAGGGTGCCTTCCAGCTATTATCAGAGGCGCATGTTTTGATTTTATTTTTTTTCTGAGTGAAAAGCTTTTGCCATACCCCCCCCCCCCTTTCTGTCTCTCCATTTCTGATTGGGTTAAAAACCAAGAAGAAAGACTGCAGTGTCTTTTAAAGACTGCAACCCTCTGCTTGGGCTTGAGTTGTCTGGCTGGTACCCTCCATTGACTTGGTTTCAGCACCTGATTAATTAGTTAATTAGTACTTAGAGCTGACTAGCCCCCACTCGGCATGGTGAAATGTTGAATCCAGCCCTGAAATTTCTGTCACCACCCTAATTATTATCACCCCACTACTTTTAAAGCCATTGCACCAAATTATTACTATAGACAGTTAGGTAACTCTGTGGGAATATGTTCTCTCTGGGAATTAAGGGTACACCTAATCAATATTTTTCACTGTTGACCTTGACACACTAAATAAAACAATTAAATGAAAAAACCTAATTCAATTAGCTTTCAACTCCTTCCTGGTGGGGATGATTTTATACAGAAGAGGTGTTAGAAGAATCACATCAAAAATGTCAGTTTTATCAGTTTCCCAGACACCAAAAGGCATGCTCATGGGATATATGGATATACATACTTACACACACACACACACATACACACACAGACACACACAGACACACACACACACACACACACACACACATATATATATATATATATATGATTGGATTTCATCCTAGATAACCTGAAATGTCAGCAAATTAAAAAATGATACACAAAAAGAGATCATCTTAACTAACTGTAAGAAAATGATGCTATCTATGTGTGTGTGACACTGATGTTTAAAAAATTCACATAGCTAAGGAATGAGTTTTCTATGGGGAAAAATATTCCATGGCCGTTGCCCCATCCTTCCATATAAGGTTAAGTAACAACTAGAGAAAATTAGTTTTTGAAAACGTTAGGATACAAGCCTAACAGACTCTAATCTTTGGCACTTCTCAATGTACCATTACTGAAAGGCGAGTGGTACATCAATGAATTCCAATATTATGTGTGGCTACTTTTACCTGGTAGCAATCCTTATATATCAGTACAGTGGGGTTGCCTGCAATTGTAAGAGTTAAATGGTACACAAAACTGCATACACAACCTCACAGACCAGTAAATGGGTTGGACTGAAAGCAAAAGTAAACACCAACCTTAGGAAATGAAAGAAGTTAAAAGATAAGTGTTAAGGACCTTATTCTTTTTGGAGAATAAAACAAGATTTAGTAGCTTTCCACTTAATTTAAATGAAAAGAATCACTACCTTACATATTGCAGTGATAATGTAATGGGGAAAGAAAACAAAAAAGTCTTTGTACAAATGACACCTCCTATAGTTGTTGTGAAGAAACTTTTCCCCTTGGTATCTGCTAACAAATTCTAATTAATGCTGCACATTCCTTTACTGAAATCATTTAATGCGGAACAAGGGGGGTAAAAAGAAATGCTGAATGCTTGTGATTGCCCTGTTAGAATTATGGGAGTGAAAGCCTGGGGCCCCAAACTTACTGTCTATTAAAGCCAAGCTTTGAAAAAGAAATGCAACCTACAAAAGCTGTCAATCTCCCTTGCCCCTAAAGCCTGGGTTCACATGGATTCAAGTGACAGCCCTCCTCCCCCATGCACAATACATCAATCTGTCTCTCCCACAAGCACCCACAGCCCATTGTGCTGGCCGCAGGTGCCTATTATGGCACCCATGGCTGCCTCCCACAGCTCCGCCCCTGAGAAACAGGAACTGCAGACAATGGAGCCCTGTGGGAAGACAGAGGTGGGTGTTGGGAGGGATAACAGACAGATGGTAAAGGGTATAGGGTAGTAAGGTAGTTTCAAAACAAATGTCAAACATTCAAAATTATTGCTTTCGTGTGCCCCACCCCCATTATGCATTGCTTTAGCTTTAGTCCCCATCTGCCTTAATTATGCAGACATGTACCTGTGAGGATCAATATTTGACACCCTTTTTGGATGTGGTAGAGAGGATGACCTTCGGTTCTCTACTGTTTCTATTTACTTTCTGGGTTTCTCAAGGTCACAGACAGAAAGTTTTAGTTCAGGGACACTACTAGAGATCATACCCAGAGAAACAATTTTACAAGAGTTAGATAAGGGATACAACAAGTAGCTACTTTGGGTAATATATTTTCAAAATCTATGAAAAGTCTTTCAAATTCTGTATGAAGCAATTGTAAAATACTTAGACCATTTCTTTTCTGATAAGGAGATAGGAAAAGGGAAATGAGGTAGGTTTACTAATACAAGTACTGAACGTCTTTGACTCACCCTCATTTCCTGTTTCTAGACATGTTAGAAAGTGAACAAAACTGCAAGAAATGCTAAATTTTATTCATATCAAGTACCATTATTTTTAAAAGTACACATTGGACATTTCATTTTGTAAAATATTACTTTTCTATGTTACTTTTAGCTTCTATATGGTGGACTAATTACAAGAAATACACAGAAAAATCAAAACATATATCAAAACACATATACATATTCATCCAGACATATTGATTTACTTGCTTTTGCCCTTATATGATCATTTTACTACACAACCTATTCCTATTCTTAAGATTATTTGTCATAAACCAAACCAAACCAAATTAAGAAAAATTTTATCATTGCTATTCCTGTCTCAAGCAAAAGTGACCAAAAGAAATCTGGCACAACTGTAAGTCATGGTAAAGACAATTGGTGACTTGTTGGGATGAGGATACCCACAGAATAATGCCAGGGATGAAAACCAGCCAGTTTCCCTGAAGCAGACAAGAGGGTCTTGGTTTGCTGTCAAAAACCACAAACTGGGCTTTAACTAGGAACTGTCAGAGATCCAAGTGAGCTCCTGGCCAAGGAAAGCTTAATTAGCAGAATTGGTTTGAGGTTTTTTAAGTACATCAGAAAAACAATCAATATGCTATGAAAGCACACAGTGATCTAATGTAGCACAAAACTCACCATTTTTATGTATATGTAGCTATTTTTCACATTTCATTAACAATTCAAATTTAGATTTTAAACGTCATATTATTGTGGTATGTTTTTCTTGTGCATCCTTTCAAAGACATTTATGCATTTATCACC